TTTATTTACCAGCACTAAACAAATTAGCCTAAACTAACCTATCACCTAACCCTAACACTAACCCTAACGTAGGCCGACACTTAATCATGTGATGTGATGATCACGAATATATCACTGGGTTCCGTGTTCTTGAAACTACCCCAACTTTAATTGTAAATTATCAAGCTTGATATGTGACTATTGACTCGGGTGACAACTCTAGCACCATCAGATAAATTAGCATGTTATCCTAATTTAGAATAGCCCAATTACAATAACTATCAAGCCTGAGTTAGACTGAACTCAGATTCGAATCAATTCAGGTTCAACTGAACTTGAACCCGAACCTAAATTGGACCGAACTGAACCTAGGAACACTAATAAGAACCCAAGTTCATTTTAATTTGCAGAATATTTTGTCTCAAATTGTTGAAGACATCACTTTCACTATCAGCTATTTTAAATTCTGAAATACAGTACTATGTTTCAATATTCTTTTATTAATTGAATAGTAGCATACAACTGATCAAAAGAATCCAGTCATACGCCAATTTGCATAACTTTTACAATTTTTTTTTGAACCCGATTTTTTCTCGAATTGTAAACGATCATACAATGTTTTAAGCTTACAGCTAATAAAGCAGAATAGATTAAGGAAAAAAATTCAAGCGCATTAATCAATGGCGGAAAAACGATTCATTAATTTTATTGCAGCTTTTATGAAAATGTGATGATTTCACATTTTAACACTTCTTCATAACTTGGTATACTTGAACAGGGGAACATGAGAAATGTTATCCATAATTAAGGAGTAAATAGAAATTTTAGGATCATCACTAACCATAATTCTCTTAATGGCCCTGAGAGGGTGCTTCCTCATCTCTTAAAACCTGTTCTTCAAACGAGGAACTAAACAAAATTTCGGCTTGGGGATGTACATCTTCAGCATCATAAGCAGCCAATTCTTCAGAAAGATCCTCATGAACATTCGGCGACTTTAAATAATCGAAAATAAATAAATAAATTATAAAAAGCATTCATAAAATACAAATGATAGTTACCGAGGGAGCTGAAGGTAGCCGAAGCTCTTTCACAAGACCGACTTCGGCACCAGGTTTCTTTTATACATAAATTAGTCAATGACTTAAATATTTGACTAGTAAACTAATAGTAAAATCTGAAAGTACTTCTGGTACGGGTTTATAACCCTTAAGTTCTTTGATATATATATCCCGAATATAGTCGTTAGACGAAGCTATTTTACTTGCCAAAGGACGAAATCTCTGGTGAAATGGACTCCTAGCGAAAAGTGAAACTCTAGGAAGTATAAATGGCTGAGCTATAGTTGGTAGGCGAATCCATTTTTCCATCGTGTCGAAAACCGAAACTCGAAGAAATAATGCTGAGGCCAAAATTTAAAAGATCTGTGATGAAAATTAATTTGGAGCATAGTGAAGGTTCATTTTTATTGGTTGTTAAAATATCACCGAAAAAAACGTCGATCAGATATATTTTATTACATGGTTCCGATCATTCTTAACGTTAAGTGGAAATTGAATGTGTAAAGCAAACATACGAAGCAAATTTTATTATACAACATTATTAATAAAAC